GTAACTTTAAAACCTGAATATCAAATCAGTAGGTTTAGCTACAAGGCTTGGCTTAGTGCATGCAGCGAGGCTAACACTTTATTCTGCTTTCCTTCATCCTTTTTTAAATGTCAAGATCTCAACCAGCATGGATAAAGACTGGTAGGACTGATTTAAAGCACTTTTTAGCAAGTGCTTTAAAGATTTATGTAGAAAAATAAACCTGCAAATTAAATTATGTTTTGTTTTTATAAAGTGGTTTTATGATGTTTTTTTGTTGTTGTTTGCATTCATATACTGTAAATATACAGGTGTGGTAACTTAATAATACTTGATTCTTAATTGGACGTCTATTTTGAATGTATAACCCCTAAATTATTATGCTTCCTAAATCAAACATTTAACACAGGACTGTGACATTTATAAAGGTATAAATAATATAAGCAAAACAAGAACAAACCATTATAATCTCTTATGACTCTCTTATGGTTGAATAGCCCCAAACTTTCAACATTTTCAACTGAGCCACAGACAGTAACCCAAGTTAGGAGGGAGGAAAAGTTAGTTATCAGTGCTTAGATTTTCTGTGTTTCATATTTCAATGATGATTCTCAAATCTTAAGTTAAACCAAGCTGTCAGTGATGTAGCTCTAATAGTGTGCATTTCCCATTGAAGAAGTCCTTTAATTGCCTTGTTGAGTGCATAAAACACACTTGGGATTTCTCAATGTTTGTTCTTTGTTTGCAAAAATCAGTTAAAGGTATTAATTAACCTGCTGCAATTTTTGAAGGTTAGTTAAGATGAAACCTGTTGGATTTACCCACCTACAAATCCTCTTTAAGTACCTACTGAAGAATTATCTGTACTGACAACTTGTTCTATTTATAAGCTGTACTGAAAATTAGATGTTTTCATTTTTTTAGTAGTCACCTTTTAAATCAAAATTTAAAGTAGACCTAATCCCTTCATGCATCATGCAGTCACTTTTGCCAGTAAAAAAGACAGATTGTTATTTTATAATGTCTTCATAGTAATTGTAGCACATAAGTAAGAACATATTTTACTAATGTTTTTCGCCTTAGACAATGCAAAGTTTGTGGGTGTAGAAGACTTGTTTTCTTAGACATTTTTTTTTATTCTTGTTTTTAGCTTTTAGTACATTCTCGAAGGTGCAAATTTGTTTCTGATTTAGTTCCCTTGCCTTTTCCAGAGAGGTGGGCTCATTCAACCCTAGAAT